AGTTAAAGTGTAATGTATTACAAAAATTTCCTTATGCAAAAGTGAAATGATGATATAAATTCAATCTTTCTACATTGAATGAGAGTCTCACTTTGTGCACCATCATTCACAAGTTTTTTCGCTTAAATTATTTCTAACAATACATGTGGTCTGTTCGATTCCATTTGAGATGATAATATTTGTATTTTATTATAGTTTCTATTTCTTTTGCCTTCACTGAGTTTCTATGTTTCTTCCTGAACTGCATTTAGGTTGTTTAAGCTGTTACTTAGTCATGGCGACAGCAATATTGATTTATTTCTCTTTTGATCACCATCATTTACGAGTTTTTTCTCTTCAGTTTGATTCTAACAATACATGTAAGCAAAAATATTGTTTTCAGTTAGATTATCATCAGGTTTTACTCTGATATACATGAATATTTATAGGAAAATGTCAAAACATATAATAGGTAAAAATACAAGTACTTACCATCAGTTCACTTGACCAAAGACGAATTAAAAATTTTGTTCCTTCTCTTTAAAGCTTATCAAATACATATGGGTTTTTTTCATACAGACTCAATGGATATGTGATAATTTGTCACTGATAATAATTATCATGATTCATGATGATTCAATTTAAAACAAACAAATGCTTCATGTTGTGCAAAACAAATATCAATACTAAAGAGTAATGTTCTACTGAATACATATCATACTGGACCGAACTATAATTGTGCACTTTATCCTGCCTGTCCTAATATGAAATATTTTACATAATCCTTATTTAATTTTTCTTTAGAAACAAACATATATATATGTATATAGTAGGTCAACAGAACAATGCCTTTAGCAGTATTATTTATTCCGAAATGATCATCTTGCCCCGCTTTGCTTATTTATCCAATTAAATGTAATCACATTAAATTTCAAAAAATTAAAATATTTTTTTTTGATATTAAAAGAAATATTAACTTTTTTACTAAGAAAAAATAAAAGAGAATTGGGGAGATCTTTTCCCAATGCAGCAAAGCAATACTGTTCACTATGTTCTCTCTCTATGTGTGTGTGTGTGTGTATGTTCAATTTGTGAATTTTGTTTAAATTTGATTGATACTACTGTGTGTGAGAGATGTGGAATTTAAATGGTTCGAGGTAAAGAAAGCCTTATTTTCCACAACAAACTACTTATCCAGCCTAGGGGCATTTTTATTTTAATCGGTCGGTGAAGAAGAAGAGTAAATTTACATATTTATGTCTTATTGAAAGAAATATTTTATGAACGAAATGGTGGTGACGTACTTGTTAAAAAAAGTACATATTTTAAATAACAGTCGTTTCTTGATAATTTTAAAATTTTTTTATCTTGACGAACATGTCTGTCAGTTATTCGAAAATTAACTCATCAGTATTTCAGCTAAAACAAATCATGTCTAACATCAATAAGTACGCTATCCTGCAAAGCTGTATAAGTCAACCATTTTTATTAACTACTGAAATTCTGTTCTCACCATTTCCTGTTTAAATATTACTGTTGTGTAATGCTTGCTACGCGTTGATATGTTTGAAATATTACAAGTTCACCTCACTCGGTAAACGAGAGCGAAGACGAATGATCCAGTGACACGATAGGCTACTCTAATCCAAGAGTCTCAAGGCCCCACTAAGTAAAGGAGGAAGTCTTGATAAGACGTAGAGAGCATATTCTACAAGCACCCAGAAAATGGACGTTCACAAGCACACAAATCGAGTTTATTTATACACCGTAGGAACGTCCTTGTGAGAGCCACAAAGATAGCGTACTAAAATACTACATCAAACAATGACAGTCAATGAATTTTCCGGGTGGGAAATGTAATCTCAAGGCTGAGTGATCAGCTCACGCGCTAAAACATAAAATCTAATATTAGGACCTTTATCAAGTGAGTTCGGGGGATCTAACGTCCCCAACATGTTTAGAAAACCATTAATTTTACTCATATATATTTTTAAATAACCTATAAGTAATTGTCATTCTAAATATAATTATTATCATCAACTCCACCTGGAGCTCTTCTAGGTTTACTGACGTCCCCAAGACTGGATAGAGGAGGAGGCTTAGGCGTTGGATTAGCAATCCAATCTCGTACAAAACAAACTTGCTAAGAAAGGGCCATACCAGAAAAAATAATTTAAACCATCCAAACTCGCCCTTGAGATCTGGAAGGACTTTATTTAGAAGGGCTGTGATGCTTCATAAACAACACAACATCCAACGACCGAATCATACTTAATGTAGAATGCAAAAACCTTTGCATTTCTGCGCAGCATCTATGAAAAACAAAATGGATCTGACGCAGATTTGAATGGATAGATTAACAGGGCAGAACATCTGTAACTTAAAATAACTTTCAGTCAACACCCAAGTTAGAATTTCCACATCAAGTGTCAAGACGGCTCTATAGTACGGAGCAGAAACTTGGAGAGCCACGAAAGCCATCACGCACAAGATGCAAGTATTTATTAACAGTTGTCTAGGCAAAATAATTTGGATCCGTCGGCCAGACACTATCAGCAACAACCCACTGTGGGAGAAAACAAAACAGCTTGCAGCTGAGGAAGAAATTGGAAAAAAGCGCTGGAAGTAGAGATAGGATACACACTGTGGGAATAACTTACTCTGTCATGAGGTAAATCCTAACTTGAAATCCCCAATGCACCGGTAATCGGAGAGAGAGGAGGAAAGGTTATTATTATTATTATTATTATTATTATAAATTCAAGTTGATATACTTTTCCTACAGCCTGTTCTCCAGCAACTTTTATTTTTATAAAAAAGCAAACATATATCTATTAACATCAAACAAATACACAATCCAACGAAAATTAATTATAAAAACAGTCCTAGCTGAAAATCCTCACAGTTGAAAAAACTGTTAATCAAGGTTCTACAGAAATCTATCTCTTTACAAATAAGACCTTAATAAAAGATGAATTTGTTTGCATTTGTTTGCTACTCGTTACTAGAAATTTCCTACCACAGTCAAGGAAGTCAATATAGAGTGGTGAATTCTATTCTATTAATTGTTCCACAAAGGTCCGTAATGTTGCGATTTGGTCGGTACATGATCAACCCTTACGGTATCCAGCCGAGTGACCTCGAAGTTGGGTGTCTACGAAGTCCTTCATTCTTTTTAACAATACCCTGCTCAAGACTTTGCCTTTCTTTCTTTCTTTCTTAAGTTGAGTGTTAAAAGGTTAATCATGAAATTTTCTCAAATCAATCTATTGTTGCATGTATTTCTTTTAATAAACACACAAGGAAATTGTTAGATAATATCTGCTTTACCTAAATATGATTACTCAACTCTAGACACCTCATTCGGGTTTCTTTTTTAAACAGAGATATCTAAAGACTTTCACTGAATTTGTCATGAGGTTCTACAGGTAATTGTCTCTAATTTTTGTATATCTAAGTTATGTAGGTTGAAAACTTCCATAATCTCTGTACATACGAGATTACAAACTTCATATAATTTCATATTTTATTAGCGTTTTGAATAATATTTATCTAATTCGTTCACTTTGCTAAATTCTGAATAATCAACAATCCTTGAAAGTTCTAGAAAGTTGAGCATGCAAGAGAACAAACCACACCAGTTCGTTGTTTACTTGAAAATAGGAGGTCGAAGATCACTGTGAACTTGGAAATATATTGTAGTATTTATAGCTCTCATTAAAATACTTGATCCAATTCAAAAGGCTTTATTTTTCAGTTCCTAACTTCCATAAACAGACACTAACAGTTCGTGAGTATTTTGCGATTCTGCTTCGAAGATTCATCAATGTATTTTCGATCATGTGAATATAAATATATATATATATATATATATATATATATATATAACAGCTCGGTTATTTTAGTTACCCAATATTCTTGTAAAACATTTCTATGGTATCATATATGAAACCATGGTTGATGAATACCAATTCAAATCAGAAATATTTGATGTAATCCATAAATATGACTTTTATATTTGTTTTATCAATTTAGGCAAAGTATGTCAACATTACCAGAGTTTCTTCCAATTCGTCTATTCATTTTTCTGTCACTCTCTATCCTTATCCACTTGTGTACTACAATATGTATATCGATAAATAACTGTATACGACGTATCTATGCAACTATCCACATATATAAATGCAGGCATTTATGCACAAAAATCTATTCATTCCCTCATTTTTTCCAAATCTGAACACTTTTCAAACAGTAGTAAGTGTCAATCGTTACTTTCTCCCCCTTGTTCAGACCTCTTTCTTCATTGAATTAGTAGAAAATAAACTACAATTTAATCTAGTCATGGAAGTCAAATAAATCTAAGGAGAGATTTTAATAAAAATTCTAGGAGAAAGGGAAATATACAAAGTTATGTTTCATAGAATAATTTATCAAACTATTGTTATTCTAGTCAATAATATTAAAAAGAATAGAGATACCACGATGAATGGGTTAGAGAAAATTTATTAAAACAACCAACCATATTTAACTAACTACTATTCTAACAGTAAAGACACAAAAATATTAATACCTATGACTGATAGCTTTTCTACAGTTAAAATCCAAATAAAAACTTTCCCCTATATGTTTGTCTTATTTAGAGTTTATTTAGTAGAAGAAAATCTGTTATCATAGCTGACTATGCTATAAAATTTGTCTGCGAATTCCATTTTTTTCTGTCTGCAAATACGTAAATCTCTATAAGTCTATTTTGCATTCAAGCTGCTTAGAGAAATCGTCTCATAAAAGTCCAATTTATGTTCATTTAAGCAAGAAAACAATATTCCAAATTCCTGTGACGTTTATTGGTCTATGAAAAAGAAATGAAAACAACTCTGTCCACTTTTTGTCAAAGCTTTTTTTCTGATTACACATACCCGATTAATAACTGGAATAAGTTTTATTGTTTCTAAAAAATTCTCGTTCAGTTATTAGAACTGTTTATACCTGTTCATATTGGTACTACTTGAATCCAGTAAACTATGTTACCTGAAGAGGACAAAGTAAGTGTCAATGCATAGTTTATCTTATTAATCAAAGATTATAATAACAATTTACATTATCCTATTAAATTTTAAATCTAAAAATCCATCTAGTTCCTGCAGTGGACAAGAAAACTGTCCAGTGTTTTCTGCTTTTTATTAGTTTCTCAGTTAATGATGATAAACACCATGAAAGTTACATGAAACATTCACAAAAAATACATTAGTAAGTAATCCACATTACTGAGTAACTGAGATGTGAGTTGATCCAACAATATCTTGACTGTTTCAAACGAGCAACGTATAGCGATTCTTTTTGAAATCAGCTGATTATCTCAATAAGCGTATGAATTTTCATGTAAAGGGTTCATCACAAGATACGGATACAAGGATATTACTTTAAATAAAACTTTAATTTCGTGGATAACTTGAAGTCTGACTTTGTTTATTCATAGAATAAATAAGAGTACAATTAGTCAGTAAGCTGATCATTCAGTTGACTATTATTTACGATTTATAACATTGTAAACAGATCCACCAAGATTACAAATCTCTGTAGAATTTATGTCTGTGTAAGGTATAAAATTTTCCTGTCAGTTGATATCAAAAATCTCATTTGATAAGCCTTTATTAATAGTATGACTTTTTGGGCATCATTTACCATGAGAACTTTTGATATCTTAGGTTTCGATAAATAACAATCAAGCCTTCTTGTTTTTGTACTTTCTGATTTCCTAAAACCATATCATGATTTTGATGATAAAAGATGAACGTAACAAAATTCAATTTCTCCAATTAATCTTATGTTATCTATACGGATAACGATTAGTTGAAATAATTCAGACAGAACAATCAAATGTCTAGCGTTAACATTATCAAGTTCATCTTACCGTTTAATGCAGGAGAGAGAGAGTCTACTTAATTTTATTTGCGATTCTAATATCGAAAGTATTCTAAAATGCTTGAAATCATCAATCAATCATTGTTAGACCACTATTAGAAACCTGGAAGTACTGGACGGCCGTTTCTTCCTGGCATGGGACTCATCAGCAGTGCGCATCCACGACTCCTGCACTTTGCAGGATTCGAACCTGGGACCTTCGGTATTGTGGTGGTCTAACAATGATTGGTTGATGATTTCAAATGTGTAAAAACACAAACCTTCAAAACTCTGCCCCAAAATATTCTCAAATAATTTAAACAAAATTAATTTTACACTGAATTTTTTTTCTTCTTGCCTATTAATATTATCATTAATTACCAGACTACTCACACAATTAGTTCCATGTTCATTGTTCAATATTTTTAGGAAAGAAATTTTAAAGAATTATCACAAACCGATTTACAATGTAAAGGATGTTATCGTCAAATTAAAGATAAAATTTTAATTCTTTTAGTAAGAAAAGACAAAACAAATTGTAATTATCAAAAGCCAAAAAATGAACACAATAAATTTGACAAAGAATTAAAAATGTCATCCAATTCAACAAATTACAGTTCATTTAAAACTAATTCAATGGATCATTTAAAAGATACACATCATCCTAGTCAACCAGAAATCTATCATATTCATTGTCTTAACTGTTTTGAATGTGGTGATCGTTTATCATTTGCTGATGAAAAATGTTGGATATATCAAGAAAATAAAATTATTTGTTTTAATTGTAGAACAAGGTAAGTAGAGGAATTATTATTATTAGTTTATGCTGATGGTTTTGTAATGTTCAAGATTGATTTTATTAATTAAAATGCTCTAGATGTTAAAGTCAGTGCTCTGGAGGATGATAGCCAAACTGGCTTGTTTATACAATAAAACTCAAAAAATGTAATTGAAATAGAAGTGTTAACCTTATCTCAAAGAATTACGGATTCTTTCACAGGTAGTTTGTATCCATGATCGCAAACCTTGCGGGGGAAGATTTATTCATCGTCCTTTTGTTTCAGTGATTTGCCATCTGATATCAGTTTTTGACATAAACCACCGACACATTCACACAAACAAGCATATTGCAAAAGTAAACTTTCTTTACAGTCAATCTTGAGTGCACCTATTTGATGTACGAAGTTTTTGTGGTCTTTAAGTTGGACTTCTCATAACATCAAGAAATAGTTATTGAAAAAAAGTAGTTCCGCTTCTACTGCCTGTTTTCGTCTATTTTTAACTGGGCATATTTTCATTTATCACTCGAGGAACAGAAGATATATTGATTTGAATTTTCTACAAAATGAATCGCTGTCTATTCAGAACTTGACATAAATTCATTATTTCATCTGAAATATTAGCAGCTCAATTGATAACTTTAAATCTAGTTTAAAAGGGTTATACGACATGACCGAAGAAAATTTAGCTGACACGTTCATGATTAAATGTTTTTTCTTTTTATTCAAAGCTCAAGTAACACTATAACCATTTTTTTTAATATAAGGTTTTATAATTACTGTGAGTTGCAATGGTTAGGATCCAAAGTAGTAAGACAACATTGATTGTTTGAATCGATAAAGTTAACACCAAATGTCTATATTAATTTTTAACAACATAGTTCACTTACACTATTACCAATTGAGCAAGATTATCTGTTCCCTTTTTAACTAAAAAATTCTATTTTAATAGATACAAACATTGTGGCCGATGTCGACTTCAAGTACCGGAAGATACAAAAGTTCATAAATTAAATCGTGTACCATTTCATATCACATGTTTCACATGTTTTCAATGTGGTCGTCAATTATACCAAGGTGATAAATGTGGGATATTCAATAATGATGTCTTTTGTTATGAACATTATATGAATAAATGTTTAACATGGAAAATATTAAATTTAGACTCCAATTCACTATCTAAAATGAATCAAATAGAACCTGGTCAAGTGGATAAACTACAACAATTTTTATTTGATCAAGAAATTCATTCGATTAATATGAATGAAGAGAAAGTTGATCGAAATTTTAGTAAGTTTCTCTCGGCTGTTTACTGAATAAAATAGTTCAGTAAAACTTATTTTAATATATACACTCTGCAGCTTTAAATTTAGGTGGTTTAATTTGTATATAATTTTATGAATAAACAAAAATATTTTCTTTGTATTTTCATGAATATGCTTAGTACGTGGATAAAATGTGAACAGAAATCTTAAAATCACAAATCATTCGACTCCTTGGCAGTGTATACCTATGACCCCACAGGCGTAAATCGAAATCAAGTCCTTTACGCTCGCTAGGGAATGCACATTTTTTAACCCACTATGCTGTGACCTGATGAAGTTCAAGAAGTCTCATACCAGAACGAAACCACCTTCCGTTGTGACCAGGTAGTTGTCCAACTATGATTAGTTCATCATTTCAATGAAATTCATTGATTTCCGTCACCCTATACTGGCAATCAGACATGTATCTGATTGTCATTACAAGTGCAGCTTCGGTTTAATGCTAAAAACTTAGGTTTTATTCCATGTGAACAGTAATTTTGTACACTACAAAGCTTAAAAACAACTTTAGAAACATACACTTAGGCTAGAAATTATCTAACAAGTTTAGTTCAAGAAAATTGGCAGATAATTATGATGAATGTCTGGTGATCGTCTTTTAATGAATGCTTACTACAATGTTACATATTGTTTGAAATCACATTATTGACATCATCCTAATCGGTCTTACAAATTGCTTTGGTTTATTCAAATTTGTTTTCAGTGTTATTTATGGATCTGACCCATAAGTCTTCCTCTTTTCGATATTATTTGTTAAGGTACCCCGAAATCTATTATTCTTTATTTTGAGTAGAATCGGCAGTTACCTTTTTTGATATCTTATACTATGTATGAATAGGTACCTTAAACAACATGATGCTAGTGTGCTGTTTACGAGTACATCAGTTATTCGATGTAAATAGTTAATATTGCCGGAGATATTAAGTAAAATGATATTTTAAATAGTGAATAGATACAAAGGTCACATCGTTCAATCATATTTTATTATATTGATTGACGTGACGTTCAGCGTTGTTACTAAGTAATGAGTACCTTGGTAATTCAGAAGTATTCGTATACCCAACGTTTGTGCTTCACTAGCCAATATATCTATATGAAAATACATTTAAAGAAATCATTTAGAATATTTTGAGAAACTCTTAGAATGATGAACGTTGTGGTCCACAAATTCTAAATTAAGTATGATGAGATCTTATAAACAGATTAACAAGTTAGGCACATATATTTAGCACGCTAAGGAACTGATGAGATAAAAAAAGTGCATAATTTAAAAAAACGTTACTGAGAAAATTACGACTACTACTTTAATACATCTTCAATTTTCACTGTAGGCCACACTATGATCGACAAATATGACAGACTCTTACCAAACTACAAACAGATTTATTTCATTAGATTTTTCGAGTTGTATTACATTACTGTAATTCGAGTGGAACTCAGTGCAAAGTCACAATTAATAATTCTCTCTATAACTTATTTTACTGGCTGAACATTAGTTATTCATCGGTCTATTGTTAATTAAATCCGAAAAACATCAAACTCATATGATAAGATATTTAAACAGTTAAATATGTCAAGTTGAAATGCTGACTTTTTGAGAATTCCTTTGGTTTTTACTGTTTTTTCGTGCGGCAACCAGTGATTCAAATTAGTCGACTTCAGGAAAAATATTCCAGTATTCACAAATGAATAGAAACAATATTCTTGTTTTATTTTATATACTTAGAACTGGAATCAGAGTCACAATGTTGTGTGTTTTGCATGAAGCAACATCTTTGAGTTATAAGTAATTTTTTTCTTAGTTTTCAAACTGTAACTCAAATTCCCCATAAATATTTTTCAGAAAATAAGTTTTTTCCAAAATACCATTTCGATATTAGTTACTTGTGGTTAACTAGCGACCATTCAGATCTAAATATTTCACGTCTGAACGGATAATGGTATCCAGTCCATACAGACTAACAAGTCTCCTAAGAAAATGAAGATAACCCATTGTCATTAATTCGTCTGCTAAGATAAATTTAAATATCCGTAAATTTTATTCTTAGTCAGTAGTTAAATAAATGTTTGTTTGATTAATCTTGAATAAAGCTGATGTTACTACTAAGCTAAATAAACTAAATTATATGAAACAAGTATTCGACAAACTCTAGTGTAATAATCACATCCATTAAAGATGAAACAACATCAAACTTTCACAGATCATAGTGAATAATTCATGATTAAAGATTAAAGTTCGTGAAAGCAAGGACTGCACTTTATAGAAATGAACAACAAATAGAACTTAAAACAACTATTGACAAACATCAAAGTCAGAATTCTCAATACAAATGTCAAGACAGTTCTACTGCATGGAGTGGAAACTTGGTGAACTACCAAAACCATCATCCAGAAGATACAAGTATTCATTTACTGTTATATGCGCAAAACACTGAAGATCCGTTGACCAGAAACCATCAGCAACAGCCTACTGTGGGAGTGAACAAACCACATTTCTGCGGAGGAGGAAATCAGGAAGAAGCGGTGGAAGTGGATAGGATACACACTGCGAAAAGCAGTCAACTGCGTCACAAGACAAGCCATCACTTGGAACCCTCAAGGACAAAGAAAAAGTGGAAAGGCAAGGAACACATCACACCGATAAATGGAGTCAGATATGAGAAAAGTAAACAAAAATTGAACAGAACTGGAAAGGAAGACCCAGAACAAAGTAGTTTAGTGAATGCTCAACGATAACCTATGCTCTATATGGGGGGTAACAGATGTAAGTAAAAGTAAGTAAGTAAATAAAGATTATCTTAATATTCTTGCACGCCGCTGCATTTTAAGCAAGACAAGGATTCTCACAAAAGCCAACTTTGCAATCACCCCTGCCCCATACGGGAACGCGCATGTTGTCTAGATTGGTCTGCAGACAAGTGGACGTCCGAAAAGCACGCGAACGAGCAGTGGCTCCTATTTGGGCACTTATGAATCAACAAGATCCCTCCAACCAATCCAATACCCACAATCCCCTATCGGCAAGGGCGGCAAGGCGGTCTTTCTCAGCTAGACCTAGCGACCCGAACGGATTACCGAGCCACCCAGCAGCCTTTCCAACCATCTGGCCTCCAACTGCCCTGCGCTGATACAATCGACCGAAGCCCTCACACCCCACATGAAGCCAAAGATCGAGTTTATCCCACAAGGTCAGCCGGAACGTACACCCTTTCATGGGGTAAAATGAACAGTACTGATCTAGCTATGATGTGCAGTAATTTAAAATTCATATTTACTCTATGCATAAACATTAAGTACACGTCATCCTAACACTAAATCGAATAATTATCACTTTTTATAACAGAAAATAATCCATTATTGATATACTTGTTGAGTAATTTTATTACTGTCGCCTCTGTTGCATTATCATATGGTTTAGAGAGCTTTTAAATATGTTGAAAAAAATTTGCTTCAAATCAAACAGTAATTCATTTTATAGCTTTTATGACTTAGCATTACTTTTCATCTATTAACTAAATGAATTATTTGTTACTCACTATAAACTATAATATTTGTTTTTATTATTGCGAAATGTAGTGCTAAGTGAGAATAAAATTTTGTAATTCTTACACCTTGAAAATTGACTGTCATTAAATAATACAGAAATCTTCACTCTTAAATTCAGTACATTGTTTCTATTTTGAAGTTACTGTATGGAATAGATAATTCAGATGACTATGACAAACTTCTCTGACATGAAATCTATGATAATTTGTTTTACTTAATTAAAGTTTTCTTCATAGAAAGTTAAAGTTAAAATCTTCTCATTCTAACCAAGATTAAAATGTTACCTGCCCTTTTCATATTTACAAGTTAGAACTACGATTTAGAATTAAGCATCAATAATGTTCTCCTATACACTTCCAAGTGAATAGTGAATATGATAATTGAATAGTTTATATTCATAAACAGTTTGAAATCCAGACAACCACATATCCGAATGAAATTTTGCAAACTACTGAACAGAAAAGCATGAATATAACTTGTTTTATTAATAATCAGAGGATATTCAAACTTCATTTTAGAGAGAAATACGTAGAACAGCATACATTGATCAAATTAAATCAATGAAATTTACAATATACATTACTTAATGAAATTAAAACTTTCCTTAATAGTAAAAATAGTGACATTAACAATCAGTAAATCAGCATGGCTCCATTTCTATCCACTAGATAACTGATCGAAAATGAACAAAAAGATAACACTGTTTAACTATTTATCAAAGCTTGTGATAAAAATTACAGTTTAACACAAAAACATACCGAAGTGATAAAAATAAATCACCTACTTTTGATACGTAAGACCCTAAAGGTCCAAACCTATTCAGAAATGTTAAGAAGAATCCATCAACCAGGCTTCTACACATATATCCTGTGGACTAATAAATGTTCGTCGATGATGTCGACGAATTACACACTCTCTTAGCATTGATTTATCCCTGTATGTTTTTTAACATTTCATGTGATCAGACTTGAATTCTACTATTTCAGTAGTTAGCCTTATGATACTTTCTTTGAAATATCAAAAATCAGATAGAAACTCAGTAACAATTTATAATCATGATATGATCGAACACTAACTTGCATAGGTTTAAGTTTTCAATTTTCTTAATAGAACATTGTGGCGCAGTGAATAAAATGAACATGAAAAGTTTAAAATGATATCTACATTTAGTTAAAACGAGCATACAGAATGGATGTGTTTTGAAAACAGCAAATGAAATCAAAAGATTACAAGGCTTCAACAAGTGAATGAATTCCGACTATAACCCTAAATAAAATGTTTTAATTTACAAGTAACATCATTTTTCTATACGATGATTATTCACTTAACATTGTGGGACCAAATAATACGGAACAAATAAAATACCTAAATTTTTCATCAATCCTCACATTTGATTGAAAATTCACTTTAGGAACTAGACATTCATAAAGTTAATTGGAACATGAATATATTAACGAAAAATGTTCTTTTAAATATATTTTTCTCCAGGTTCTACAATTAGATATCCAAATTATTAATTCAAGAGGCCAGACTTAAGGCAAAAGACATTGAAATCATGAATCAGTCCTTGTTAGACCATCATTAGAAACCTGGAAGCCCTGGATGGCTGTTTTGTCCTGGTATGAGACTCTTCAGAAGTGCGCATCTCATAATAGAACGAAACAGGTCATCCAGCGCTTTCACGTTTCCAAAGGTGGTCTAACGATAATTGATTCATAATCTCAATGATAAACAACAACCTTCATAACTCTGCAATGAACAACAAAATACATTAACCCAGATTATAGCATGTGAATCAAGGACTAATGTGAACTAAAATAAAATTGTTAATATTAAGATAACTAATATGCTGAGTATACTTGAGTTAGATGAAATTGTGACATTGTTGATTAGAATATGGGTTAGATAGGGTGAAAGATATAATATTGCGAGTACCAAATTCGATCGAAAGTTAAGGGACCGATACCATATAAATTCTGTCAGTAATATCCAAGTGAGGTGAGTGTTAAGTAAATTGACTGTGTGTTTAGGAGATCAATAGTGATGTGAAACCAATAATAGTGATACAGCTATATATGATAACAAAGGCAATCACATTGTTGCATCACAGTTTTATGGATATCTTTGTTTTACATTGAAACCCCTGTTGATGAGATCCATGCCAGGACAAAACGGCCGTCTAGTGCTACTAACGGTGGTCTACCAGTGACTAACTCATGATTTCGATAAAAAATAGCATTTGACTATGAAGGGTTGAATGTATATCATTCGAATTAGGTCATTCTATTAATAAGATAACAACTGATTAATTGCAACTGCACTTGACCATGGTTAGAGAAGCAGTTAAATGTAAACCTTTCTCTCGGCCCCTACATCTATAAAATATATGCCTGTATAATACATTAACGGATTCTTATAATGGTAATAACTGAAAAGTAGTTAGTTTATTAGCCCCTATGGTAATGTAGTAAATTTCCGAAATATGAACTATCAGTCATCCGTTTTTCGCACCGGAATAATCATAGGTAATAAAATAATTAGTTATGGTTTTTTCAAGCTTTTAAATTGGTCTGTCAGCTGATTTAGTATCATGGATGTTGTTTAAAGTTGTGGAACAAAACACAGAACAATTAATCAGTTGTTCCTTACTTCAGTTTAAATTAAATTAAAACATAGTACTTTTTAAAATACAAGTTGGAATTAGTATACACTGTCATCACATTCATTTCCAACACTTAGAATATTTCATCAAGATATATGCAGTAAATGGGATATGCAGACAATTAAGTAAATCTTTGAATATCCACTAAACTGTACTTGCAGTTATTTTGATTAATGAATAGAACTAGTTTAAGAAATCTGTGAAATTCAATTTAAATTTTGTATTAAACTTTTTTCTTTTTCAAAAAATTTTTTGATGAAACCCAGATCAAGATCATGGTCATTTTCCAAATAATCGACATAAATCAGATCGAATAACAATGATGACTACAAATTGTGGCGCATTGTCTACATCGCTCTCATTTAAACAATCAATGCATTCAAATGAAACAACCGATTGTTTTTTAACTTCAACAAATTATCCAACAGTAAATAATCTGCTAAGCATTTCAAATAGTCCATCAACAACTACAACAACATTTACAAATATGAATTCAATAGAAAATTGTCAAACAACCACCGATAATTGGTGTTCAATTGATGAGTCTATGCTGAATGAAGAAATCCTGTTAAACAATGGTGAAATCTCTTTGACAATGACTGAAAATGGTCATTCAGTTGACAGTAGTACAAGTAGTAATTGTAGTGTACATTCAAAATCAAAACGTATTAGAACAAGTTTTACACCTGATCAATTAGCAATACTTCAAGCGAATTTTGACATTGAAGCTAATCCAGATGGACAAGAACTAGAACGTATTGCTGGTATAGCCAAGTTGAATAAACGTGTTACACAAGTAGGTTAACCTTTTTGGTTAAGACAGTATTTTGTAATTTAATTCCTCAATGACAGTTAAACGATCATGAATAGCAATAAGATCAGTGAAATAATCTATACTTAGTCATATCAAGCGATAAACTTAGTTTAAAGTAATCAAATATCACAAATAATGTTTTCTTGCTAATAAGCCAACCAAAATCAAGACATGTGTGGTACTTATTTCAATAATTTAATTTTTTTTCGAGCAGAGTTTTGGAGGTTTGTGTTTATTTACACATTTGAAATCATCAATCAATCATTGTTAGAACACCATTAGAAACCTTGAATCACTGGACGGCCGTTTCGTCCTAAAAATGGGACTCATCAGCAATGCGCATCCACGACTCCTGCACCTCGCAGGATTCAAACCCGGGACCTTCGGTATTGTGCGCGAACGCCTAACCATCGGACCACTGGGCCGGCACCCGGCGGTGTTGATGTCAAATTCTGATTGATCTAGGGACTTTGCGCGACCTCACCCATCTGTCTTTGGTAGTTACTGCCTACACCCGACAGCGTTGAACTCCATTGGTTACGTCTTCTCAACTAGAACTCCGAGAATTTCCTTACGAAGCTAGTCACGAGTGAGCACTGTTACGCTATTTTGGGGCAGAGTTCTGGAGGTTTGTGTTTTTACATATTTGAAGCAATTAATGCCGGCTCAGTGGTTCGATGGTTAGGCGTCCGCACACAATACCGATGGTCCCGGGTTCGAGTCGTGCGAGGTGCAGGAGTCGTGGATGCGCACTGCTGATGAGTCCCATACCAGGACCGAACGGCGGTCCAGCGCTTCCAGGTTTCTAATTTAATTTTTGTTCTTTGCAAACATTGTAATTAAGTCCCCTAATTTCGAATCATATTGCAATTTGATATGTATTGGAATTTTTCTCTTTACTACTGACTGGTTTAGTTAAATTTACATCAAAAAAAGGAACTTTTTTTAGTTTCTGTGTAGATCTAAGTAGCCTAACAACTTATCGGCATGTGTTTTTCTGACTTATTTCAAGTATTTAATGACACTTTTTCCTACTATAAATTCAAACCGATGTTAGAATATAATGATTCTCTTTCGTAAACAAATATTGACATATGAACACAGTTAAACACCAATCGATGTCTCTGTCATAAATAATTTTTGAATGTTATCCCATTATTTCTTGATGAAGGATTTAATATTTGTGTTTATATTGATTTCAGGTATGGTTTCAAAATGCCAGAGCACGTAAAAAGAAAATTGAATGTCGCGGTAACCTTGAAGGACAACATGATCAATTAGGTTTTAATAGTTTAACTTGTTGTTTAACTGATCCAATGGGAATAGAAGAGTTTTATGATAATTCAAAAGAGAATATACCTTCAATGAATGAAATAAATGAAGGAATTCTATCAGTTAATAATAATGATGGAATGAATGTAAATCAAATTTATGGAAGAGAATATAATTGCAAATCGGATTGTTTCAGTGAGTTGGATTATATTACTAACTACAACATAATTTTATAAGTAATGAAAGTAATAGTGAGAGAATTTTTTTCACATTTTCGTTTTCTGTTGATAGTAGTAGTTTGATATTGAATGGGAATGAAACCAACTTTTTAAATAGTAGTAACAATATACAAAATGATACTGTTATGAACAGATTATTTCCTAATCCCAATGTGTTTGAGAAAATACCTTATATACTTCATTAAGTAAGAAGCAGTCAATTTACATGGTTCATTTGGTAGAAAAGAAAATTACTTAGCCCCCTAGAAACATGTTTCGGCGGATCACAGTTATTTCCTCAGGCGTAAGATAATAACTTAACTAATAAGACAAGAATAGTAAAGAATTCACCTGCTATACAAATTTTATTTGATCTCATATGTTATTGCTCCTAACGATATTAGCTACACACTTCTTAAGTTTACAATAATTGGTTTTGTATTAAAAAATAATTTTTTAGTTTTAATTACAAAATATTTACATTATTCATAATGAGATTATCCCTTCATTAATAACAGTAGATGTAACGTAATCAGATTATGCTGTAGCTCATTTTGAGACATTTTGCATATATTTTGATGAGTTGAACAAAGTTAACATTTTCGTATAAGCTACCAGTAAAAACTGATAGTAGGGATGATGATGATGATGATGATGATGATGATGATGATGATGATGATGATGATGATGATGATGATGATGATGATGATGATGATGATGATGATGATGATGATGATGATGATGATGATGATGATGATGATGATGATGATGATGATGATGATGATGATGATGATGATGATGATGATGATGATGATGATGATGATGATGATGATGATGATGATGATGATGATGATGATGATGATGATGATGATGATGATGATGATGATGATGATGATGATGATGATGATGATGATGAAGAGGATGAAATCGGTTAGCAGATCGTCTGAAATATGACAGATTTAGTTAAAAATTTCATTTTTTTCACAATAACTAAACTGCAGAAGCTATTCTCTTTGATCAACCAACAGGAAACACCTAACGATAAGCATACATACAAAGGGCATATATGAGCGTGCCAACAATCGTGTATAGGAACCACTAGAAATTATTTCATCCACTGCAAAATCAACAGAGGAACAGGATGAATAAAACAGTGAAAATTTCATCTACAGAACAAATTATTTTACCTAATAGAGCAATTTTCAGCTACTGATACCGAAATTAGTGAGTGTAATTCAGTTGAATAGATTAAAAGATTTTACTCTACAATAATTTAGAATAGATTCTTTTTAAATATCGATTTCATGAATAGATGCGAATTTCTTGGGGCTAATTCAATCAATACATAATTTAAATGCGAACAAATCGAAATGATCCTATCAAACTTCGGCTCAAATGTACCTCGTATATTATTTACATTACATTTGTAGATCATTTCGTTTACTTTAAATATTTTGACGAAATACCTATCTGCTATACTAATTGGACAAAAAGTAACAAGAATCCGATATTATTATTCTTTTTACCTACTGTTGTTTTCCTAGAAAAGAAAAATTAAGATTTCTCGACAAATACTATCAAATTAACATTGATATTCACATCTATCTTGATGAGAAATCATATACTCAAGAAAAGTGTATTAAAACACCAATAAATCCCATATTTTTAAACACTTTCTAACCTACTCATTAAATTTATTAACGATGAGGTTAAACAACAGACAGAAACCTTCAACATATATCAATTGTCCTTCGCTAATTGAATGTTTGAAAAAAACTTGAAATCTCATACTGAAATTTCTGTATTTTTATTTTAGATGGAAACTGTATGACGTTAAGTGATACCATTCCTAATGAATGTGATGATAGTTCCGAAAGAATGAATCCTATGAAGAATTCTTTAGCTATAAAAAATGCTGCGACCAATAACGGCATAAATAATCATGGCTGCCAAAACAACAACACTGCATCTGTAAACATCAGTACAACCAATGTCATTCCGATTGAAAATTCGAATGGATCAAGTCATTCACAGAATTCCACACTATCAACACGAAATACTGTTAGACCAAATTTATGTACAGATCAAAATATGTTTAGCATTATCCCGTCAAATTATCATATGTCAAATAATTTTTATTTTCCAGCAGTCGCGTTACCAACTAATTGATTCACTTGACTATGACTAGATATAAAAATCTACAATTCAATTTATTCTTAAAAATATGACTATTGACCTGCATAATACAGATAAGTGGATCTCATACACAACATAACTTATAACTAAACATAATACGTAATTTTTCTGATTAACTCTATTTCTCGTCGTATTTCCAATTATCTTATCCCAACATTTTGTTGTTTTATCTTTTACACTACTGAAAACAAAAAGCAGTAATAAAAACATCTTTTAACAAATTCTCACAAAATCCAGTCACATTACTTTGATCTGAGTATTATTAAACACAATTAACTTAAATAAAATCTGCTTAAAAATTAGAGACGAAATTTTCACTTAATATTTGGTGCATTCTATTTAAATAAACATGAAAAATTCATTAGTATTGATCTTTTTTCCCTTGTATGGCATTAATGTAACTGCACACTGGGATTGAAACATTTGTCAACATAAATATTATACTGTTATTATTTCAACTATACACACTTAATTATTAAGTCTTTTAAGTAGTACTGACTGTGAATAGCTGAGGTGATAACTCTAGTACATCATTATGTAATAAGCAAAAAACAGAAATTAAGCTGTAAAATTCTATCATATTAAAATTGTTGAAAACTATTATAATTTAGATTCTAAAACTTGACATCAACACTTAATTATCTGTGATTATCCTCTAACTACTTTGTAAGCTCAAAAGGAAATAAGATTAGGGACTTCATTTTCATCTTCCAGGCAACCACGTTTTACATTTGCTAGCTTCACCATCATTTTCATTCTTACCTAATTATTACCGTTTTAAAACTGAGTTGGATTACGTACTAATTTCCTAAGATTATCATTATAAATGTATGTGGAATATATTTTAGGAGCTGTAGTTCTAGCACTTTAACTCATAAAAGTCAATCACTTGATTTGAAAAACACACTAAAATACTCACTTAGAGCCATAACAGGTGAAGAAGTAGCACATACTTTTCGAAATACTGCCGTATCATATCCAGAGGATAAATTGCTGATGCAACAATTTCGAGGGGAATACGTTACTCTGGAGGAGTTTCGATCAAATAATATTACAATTCTATATTTGGGTCAGTGTTTAGTCTGTTTAAACAATTCTATTACATAATCAATGAAACATTTGAATGAATTTAACGAATAAAATATTCTTTTTTTGACGATATCATTTACTGTAGCCATGTAATGATATTTATAGATTGAAATCTAATAGAGAATAGAATTGAACTGATTAGAAAACCTAAGTAATGGAAGTTTACCTATAAATTTACAACCTTATAACTTATTAGAGAGAAATATGAACCATAATTGTCTACTTGAAGAACGTGAAGAAAATAGTATATTGTTGAACTAAACTTGTATTCACTATAAACAACAACTGATTCATAGGTTATGCAAAGTTATATTGCGGTGTTCAGAAATCAAAAACACTATATTTTGTACACAAAAATCAGCTATGTAGAAATTACGTATGTTTGCTTCTTTTGATCCCATTTCTGTGTTTTTTCGTTTACTGATATTTGGTCGTCATAATCCTTTTTTATCCGACTACTGAGAATTATAGACAAGTACGCATTTTAGTGAATTCGGGCTGCTTTACGTAGTTATTCCGCTATTCGACATCGTAGAAACTAAGCAGTCTCTGTTAGACTTTTATTACCTTTAGTTTAACTTGCACAAAAGTACTAACAGTATGCTCACTTTTAATATCTTCCTATTGGGGCATGATTGAGCCTTCAAAATATGCTAAAATTTCGCCAAGAATTTGGATGTACACCCCATATGAATGCTAATTATGTCGAAGGATCAAATAATTCTCAACAATAACAGAAAAAAGGAAGATTGTTTGGATCCATTTTTTGTTGACAGAACTAAACTACTTTTTGAAAATAAGTAGTTTTATGCGTTCACTAAAATAAATTAGAACATGAAAATACCATTACTTAATTTTATTTATTTATTATTTTCTTTAAATAATTTGTGAGTAAATAGCATCATCATAATCATTTATTCAATCTATCAGATTTGCTAGATAAGCTTTCAGAAAATATTCAAATAACATTTTATTATTTATTCAACATTATGAAGGCATTGGATTTGTAGACATTGTTCAATTTTAACTTAACTTTCATCGCCGACAGAGTTCAGATAAAAATCTATGGAAGAAGGTGAAGCATGAGAAAATTATCTGGTATCAATCAATCAGTTTATTTGAAAAATATCATAAAACCGAATATTTTTACTGAACTAATATCCTATTCATATCCACGACAATGTTCGCTTCCAGCTGCAAGTTGTATTCCTGAGGTTCTGGTTAGAAGTTATGATAAACACAATTCCATGATACAATAAATAATAATTCAACTATCAGTGATGAAATAAGGTATTCATTACATTGCACGACGGAGAGGATGGATTTAAAAGTGCGGAAGATCAGCTTTTGGAACATTATTATGCTCTCTATGTTAATTATTGTCACTTAGTAAAATATAATATACTGTTATGTGTTCAAAGTCCTGAGGAACCGCAAACTAAAATGAAAGCAGCTGTCCAGTAAACTCCACTTGTTGGTATTTTTCAAATTGTTCTATATCGATAACTAATGACCTTAGATGCTCATTGGACGTTTTCTTAGATAGGCCAGGGATTTGACAGTAGCTTTTGGTTGTCCTGAATACATCAAGCTACTTTATATGAACTTGTAACTTACTATCCGCAGGTTGATCGATAAACTAAAATTTCATTTCCAAGGCCAAATGAGAAGATCGGAAGAAAGTATTTCTAAAATCTATGTACCTTTATATCTGTGACTCAAAAATTTACCTAATTAGACAATATTCTTTTGGAGGTACCAGATCCCCAAAAATTTCTTGATAAACCTAATATCATAATTTATTTATCGAAAAATAAATTTCTTATTTTCACTCCAAAAGCACCCATCATTACCCGCACTTCATGTTACTCACTTGGACATTGGTTCGTTAATAAGCTATTTGATGAGACTTCCAAGGATGTATTTTTGTATTGTACGTATTACTGATTAACTGAGTACTTGGTGATCGTTCGTTTCGAGCTGCTTGTGAGTAATATATTCTTCCTGGTGACTGTGGACTTCTTCCTCTAGTTAGCCGGGCTGTGGCAAAGAGGAATAGCTTAGCTTGTCCTGTTATTATGTTGCTGGTTATACATTCCATTCGCTGAGATCAAGTTGCATCTTAAATATCACAAGCATCCCATATACAAATAAATAATTGGGCCACAATTAACCCCAATTAAAAGGACAGCAATGCATGCCAAACTACAACAGTTAAAGTATCAAGTAGGCTTATGATAAATCTGAATTAGTTGGACGACGTTAAAACGTGATAATGGTTTACAAGTTGAATGAAAGCTTATAGTCAAATTATTAATAAAATCATACGAATTAAATGTAAACTTTTATTCAAGAATTAAAAGTACTGACGTTCTAAAAATCATCTTGAATGATTTTGACATTTATAACATCTCACATTCATTTGAGTTTGTTTACATTTCATTTGGTAAGCCTTTGTATTAACTTATTTAACAAATATCGTCATCGAAACAGTAAAACTTGTCTGTACCATTGTACTTTTATAACTGACGCGCTTGTATGAGCATGTGTGTCTGAGCATTGATTATGGCCTATGCAAATATTCATTCTACTGGCTTTAATGTCAATCCCTTAAATAATTCGATGACTCATTCATTTGTGTGTTTATATTATTGTAAACTAATACTTATTTTATTCGCTCTTCGTCATTCGCATATCATTTCACCTTCGCTGTGGCTTTTTGAGATAATAAACGTCATCAACACTTCATATTCATCTTCTGAATTGTATACATAGTTGAGCATTATCTAATTAACAGTTATCAAGACAAGTAGTAGTAATAGTAGAAGTAGTAGTAGTAGTGTGGTGTGAGCTACTTATAAGTAGTATATGATGTGAGTGTCAACGTAATGTCTGGAAGCAGAAGATGGGGGAAGATCAAGAAAGGAAGAGTTAGAAAACAATGGAATTTGTATGAAATGCATGAATAGTGACAATGGATTGATGTTTTGCAACAGGAACAGTCCAGTTCGATATGATGAACTGATATTTTGCAAATTAACGATTTACGATATTGTTTTGCTGTTTTACTGAGTAACTCTGTAATTTCGTTAGTTACAATTCGGTTGCCCCACCTGTGTTCTCGTTCACTACATTTGATGTCGCTGCCTGCTTGAAAGAAGGAGCTTCCGTGGCCGAAGGAGTTGGGGGACGGAGATGTGCGGAGCTTCCTGGTGGGGTTTGAGGCCACGGTGGAGCTGGTGGGTGTGAAGGGGCCCGAGGCGGAGTTGGTGGTGCTGGGGACGCTTCTGGGAGGTGAGGCGACAGCCTGGACGGTGCCGCCGGGAAAACGGCGTGGGAGGCGGTCACCGGGCGGCTGATGACGGAGTTCGACAGCCCGGTAGACAGGGAGGAGGGGCCCCAGAGGTTCCGGTTGGCGAGGCTGTCGGCTGATGGTGACCCGTTGGTGCGGGCTGTAGAGCTCAAGACGTTGCTGCGCCGTACGCTGCCGAGTATGGATGGGGAGTCGGGGGCACAGTTGTTGGCGTCGCAATTCATCGAGAGTGTGCCGGCCGCCGTGTCCCAGCAGCGGGAACTATTAAACGCTACAGGTTGGATAGATGCCGTATCCATTCCAAGCCCGCGGGCAACAACAATGACTGAAGTGGTAATCCGGCATATTGTAGCTTGTCACGGAATACGGAAGGTGATATTAACTGACCAGGGCCCCTGTTGTGAAAGTGACGAAACTAAAGCCCGTCTAAAGCAGTTTGGCATCAAGAGGATACGAACTACACCGTATCATCCGCAGATAAACGGGCTTACAGAGAGAAACAGCCGGACGTTAAAGGAATGGTTAGCATCTAAAGGAGGAGATTGGGAGAAAGAGTTACCATTGATTTTGC